ATCCTTATAGTGTCAGTTCCTGCAAGTGGAAGAGGTTTTTTTTTTTTTTTTTTTTTTTTAATAACAATTGTTCCTATTTACGTAACCTTTAATTTTCCCTAATTAGAGCTAATCCATATAGCCAAAAAGGATTAAAAAATACAAAAAATATATGTGTAATATTTTTTTTTTTAGAGGATGATATTGCCAACAGAATACTGTATGTGTATTACCATGACTTTTTTTTCAGTGGGAACATGGGGGAGTGCAGTTGCAGCACCTCCAGCACTGAATGTATGTAACTGCAAAGGGTGCTGGAAGGTCTGATGCTGGCTGCTGGGGGATCTAATGTTGCTGGAGAGGATCTATTTTTGGCAGAGGGTCTATTGTTGCTGGGAAGGTCTATTGCTGCTGGTGGGGGATCTATTGTTGCTGGAGGTGGGTCTTATGTTGCTGGTGGGTCAATCATTGCTGGGAGGGATCTACAGTTGAGGAAGGATTCTATTGTTGCTGGCTGCTGGAGGATCTAATGATGCTTGCTGTTGGGAATCTATTGTGGCTGGTGTGGATCTATTGTTTCTAGCTACAAGAAATCCATTTTATTGCCATTCTTGTTATCAGAAGCAAATTCCATATGAACTACTTAGAATCACAAAATTATACTTGGTTCTGTATTCTCAAAAAGGAGCTGTACTGGGAGGGGGGGGGTAAGGGGTATGACCCAGAAACGATGATCAAAGGTAGGTAGGGGGTGGACACACAGGGTGAGGTGGAAAGGGGGAGTTCCTGCACCTATTTTCTGAAAACAAAAAGCCCTGTGTATTACATCCAATATCTTAAATAATTACGTTATTCTCAAACCAATAGGCCCCATAACTAAAATGTACCTTCGTGGTCCATAAAGGGCATACATGTGTGAGAATTGATGAGAAAAACAGCGAGCGCTCAGGATTCCAATAGGGTCAGCAGAATGTGCACTAAAAAGGAACCAAAAGACCTTAAATAATACATATAAACAATAAGTTTAATGAATACAAAATTATGATAATAGTGGTTCAAATAAACACAAATGTTAAATGAAAAGTGCTTTGTTATAATAAGTGCAAACAATTGCGTGCAACTGTGAAAGTCAATAAACAGAAAATTGTTCATATAATGGTAAATGTCTGACACCAATCAGAAAATAGTGTCGCATAGAGATCCTGCTGCACAGGTGATATCAAAAGGATTCCGTGTGATTTTACTCCATTAAATTCGTGCAGGGGGTTATGATAAAAAATGTGCACTCACCAGATGTGCATAATAAAAGCGCAATATATTGAATCATATGATGATTGTAAGGTCTGCCGGAAGCCCCCTTTAATGTGGATCAAGCAAGCAGCATAGGAAGAGGCTCCCTCCTCTGGATCTGGGACTGCTCTGCAGCTGTTCTCCGGATAGAGTCCTGGAAATTGTTTAGCTCGATACAGAGCCAAGAAAGATGGTGCCCATAGTGTATTAATTAAACTAATTTATTATGGTAAAATAAATGTGACGTCACGGCGTACGGCTCCTCCTTGATGTGTTTCGTGTGCATGCACATTATCAAAAGGGGTGTGTCTGTAATGCCGGATGTCAGTGGAAGGCCTTATATAGCCTGCAATGTGCATGAGCGGGCGCCATTTTTTTGAAGACAGAGGAGGAGGATGGCGACCATTTTAGGCTGGTCAGTCTCATGGTTTTTTAAAGCTCTGCTATTTGATGTTTCTCCACGTGGATGATACTGTTTTTTTTAACCACAATAAATTAATTTAATTACTACACTATGGGCACCTTCTTTCTTAGTTCTGTATCGAGCAAACAATTTCCAGGACACTATCCGCAGAACAGCTGCAGAGCAGTCCCAGATCCAGAGGAGGGAGTCTCTTCTTATGCTGCTTGCTTGGTCCACATTAAAGGGGGCTTCTGGCAGACCTTACAATCATCATATGATTCAATATATTGCGCTTTTATTATGTGCATCTGGTGAGTGTGCATTTTTTATCATAACCCCTGCACGAATTTAATGGAGTAAAAATCACACGAAATCCTTTTGATATCACCTGTGCAACAGGATCTCTATGCGACACTATTTTCTGACTGGTGTCAGACTTTCACCATTATATGAACAATTTTCTGTTTATTGACTTTCACAGTTGCAGACAATTTTTTGCGCTTATTATAATGTAGCACTTTTTATTTAACAATTGTGTTTATTTGAACCACAATTATTATTTTGTATTAATTTTTTTAGCACTGCACTTATTGTTTATATATGTGTGAGAATTGAAGTTGTCGCATTTTAAAATTTTACAATTGAGATAAATGTAGTTTTTAGGCTTTCCATGAATAATGTTTTTATGGATTACAGTTAGAGTGTATGTGTGGCCCTTTCTTTTAGTTAGGGATAGAGTATGTAAGGGTTAAAACCTCTCACTCATTTTTTTTTTTTTTTCCCTTTCTGTGTTCCAATGGATAGATTGGCCTTCACTTCCTGTCCTGGAGGTGTAGTAGGAAGTAAGTTTCTCCAAAATAAAGGGGAATGACATGTTAGAAGGCTGTCAGAGAAACAAGTATCCACATTGGAGTCTCCTGTTCTGGTGACCACTAAAATGTTAAATATAGTTTTCAGCGATAGTGGTCACCAGGCAAATAAAGAGTGACTCTGCCCAGGAAAGGCACATACAACAAGAAAAAAAAAAAAAAATAACCTCACATCTGAAACAAAAATAGTTGTGTCTATATATACACTATAGTTATTTATTGCAACCACTTTTTGTGATCAAACGGGAGTGGGTACAGAAAAGTGAAGAGGGTTACAGAAAGATTGTATGGAAGCTGAAGCAGTACATTTAGCATTTGTTGTGGAATGTTTTTATTATTCAGGTGATTAATCAATTAGGGTGTTGCATTTGTTTTATTGAATCAGTGTATAGTGATGGGGGATAGTAGTTAAACAATAGTTTTAGAGTTGATGGTATGATGGTAAGGAGTGTCTTGTATTCACTATTGCTCAGCAAATACTTTCCACATAGTAAATGAGATAGATGTACGAACATGCAGTGACCTTGGCATATGGAGCACACCTGTGGTACAGGTATACAAGATTTTCTGCAGTGCACCCACCTCATGTGTCCATAGTCTTAAGCTGGCCATAGATGGGTAGAATTTCCAATGAAAATTCTTAGGAAAAGAATGTTCAAAGAAAGTTCATTTGTCTAATTATTTGTGAAGAAAATTTGAAGGAGCAGAATGGAATATTTTTCTCTAACAAATTTCCAACAGTGTATGTGGTCCATTCTTTCCAAAATCAAATGTTAAAAGCAAAACAAAATCTTTGAAACAACATTCAAATGTTCTGTGAATTTTAGTACAGATTTTCCCTAAGACCTCTCCTAAGAATTTTAATTTGAAACTCTATCCACCTACGTCCAGTTTTAGCCTGAATGAAAGTTGCAGAACCTCTATTTTGAGGTCTTTAGTGTTTATTGAGTCCCATGAGTAGAACTCCGGGAGCAAAAAATCCTGAACAGAAAACAGCCCAGAGTCTACCCTGCACTTATTTCCCCACTGGATTACACTTATTTTTTCAAGATTTAATTTACCTGTTTGCTTACATTCACACTTTACTGCATTTACCTGTCTGCACCATTTGAACATCTACAGGCATTTTCACATACAGAACTTGTGACAAAAAAATAAATTAATAAAATAAAATTGATTATTGAAAGTTTAAGCTTAGTGTTTTCTATATGGAACCGTACATTGCTGGTAGAATGGCACAGTTAACTCTTCAGCTGCTAATGCCCTGGAATCAGATGAACAGGCCCTCACATAATACCCAAAAGGTTTTCTTATTTTGCCATTACTGTGGGAATCAAAATCAGGTCTCTGGAATAATTCCGCTTCTGTTTATTGTGAATACTAAAATATCACAGTGCCATATAGGTAATGATATCAGTAATCATTTAATGCATTTGTGTAACAAAACCTGACCCTTAACGTTCTAACCAATATTACGTATTGCTTCCTTAGGGTTACACAGTCTCAAAGATCCATTGTACCCAATGGGAAAAGCTCAAATCATATTAGCTGCCATGTAATGTACATGGTAACTGTAGAAACAATGGTATGTCATGTCCACATGAATTTTCTATAGTCAACTTTGGACAGACCCCCATAACCCTGAGGAAGTTACAACTTTTCCCATGGGGCACAAAAAATACTACAACAATGCAAGAAAACAGGCAATAAATACTGTCAAAAAATGATCCTGTGACTGATCCCAGTGTCATTATTTGGGGAAGTTACAGAAAAGAAAGGACAGACAACAGTGGTGTCATGTGCTTACTGTTCCACTTCTAAAATCAGATGCAGACAACCCTGCAAGGTGAAAAATAGTTTTTTTTTCTGTAATAAAAGCGCACAAAGAACATGAAACACAAATGTTTATTTTAGCAAAATAAAAATATATTATATATATATAAAAAAGGGGGAAAGTAAACGGATGTGGACGCGACTGTGCAGCAAAACTGCAGGTTGAAATGTTACTAGAGTGTGATAAATGTTTTGTTTCAGAAAAAATAAAGAGCAGGAAGGGGGGATAGGTTTGGAAAGTACCCCCAGAACTTTCACCAAGCTACAAATCAACATTCAGCTCTGCCGCTTCTTTCTCAAACACAAAACTCACAGTGCAGGGCACTCTAACCATTCAATGGGCTAAAAGTATCCAAGTACTGGAAGCATTTAAATCTGGAAGCATTAAACTCTCTTACAATAATACGCCAGCTTCTTTCAGATGACAGTCAGGCATGATTGAAATAATTATAAGCATGTGCAAGGATACAGTATTGTAGTCCGATTTTAGTTCAGTAGTCCTCTTTGAACACTATATTTCAAGGATTTGCCATTTAGATCTTCTTTTCATACACTGTCCAGTAGAAAATATCCAGTGAGTAATACATCATAAAATATATTTACACACTATTCACAGGAGGTAGCATTCATGTAATGTCCTCCTCTTCTGAGCAATAATCTCGACCCTAACAAAAGAAAAGAAAATACATCATATATAAATATATACACTGACTAGATTTCGTGTATTATAATAGATATATACAAAGGATTAATCTCTAAAGACCACATTTAAGCATTAACTGTTCTGATTTAATGGTGACGGTGCATTTTGCCGCAAAAGCTGCCATTTTTATATCTGTAATGCTGAATAATTACCAAAGGAAACTGGTAAAGCTGGAGTTTGACAATCAAATTACGGTACCTTTTCAATTTTTTCATCCAACATTCTGAAAAACTCTTGTTGACTTTCAGAAATGTGTATGCTAAAAATGAAAAACAAAAGATATCAATGTTATATTTTATGTTTCTTTTATAAATTAAATGAGCAAAATAGTGACACAAAACCACATTTATCACATCAATGCAATCATTAAAAATAAATATTTTCTGAAATGTGGATATGTTTGAAATGGCAAACAAAGTGCAATAGCCGACACAATGGTGTGTATTGTTCTTACTGCTCTAGATTGAGAAAAGTCATTGGTTGCTGGGAAATGGTGCATACCACCATTATACTTTATATTATATGACCTCATTAGGGGCAGTGTTTTCACCCTAAGCTGCTCTAATACCTTTTGCAGTGTGTTGGAGAAAAAGAACTCGGGTGCATTTTTCCCCAGTATGAGTGTTAAATAACTGGACCCTTTAAACACAATGAAAAATTATGCATTGCCAAATGTGCATGTGCACAAGTGTAAATAGACGCTAAGTGCATACACATCTATGCTTTTCTACAGGCAAGCAATACCCTGAAGAACGATGTGAGTGCTTGTAAGCTTTTATAGATAGTGGGGTATGGTTTTCTAAAGAAGTAGTGCATGTCCACTTTACAAAGTGAATTTTCACTTGGCTTAGTGCATGTAGTATAAGTTATCTTTGCAGAAAAGAACTCAAGTGCAAAAAAAAAAATGGATGGATTTGGACATGGATGCTTGGACATGATTGAATGATTTATGTCAGCAGAGCTTATCTTCATATACTAAGTTAAGAAAAAAATGCCACTGTAAAAAGTTACAAGGAAAATTCTCTTTGCTAGTTGAACAGCCTACACACATTTAGTTAATCAACTGTACTGTGTTTCTGGCTAAATTTTGAAAAGTAAATGGTATTTAGTCATGAGTTCCTAGTTTTACTGTATTCCTAAGGGACTAAAAGAATAATGGAGACCAAAGGTGAGGTGAGCACAGTAAATGGTTTCTGACACATGCAAAATAACATGGTGGGCATTTTATTGGGAGTGTAAAAAAAAACTCAAGTAGAAACAGATTGGAAAAAAAGAAAAAAAAAATATATATATATATATATTATACACACCTATTATACACACATATTGTGGACCTTTAGAATACAGTTTCTCATAGGACACTGAGGAGGAAGGGGAGTGGTGAAACCGCTTTTACCAGACTGCACTGGGAACCTCCTCCTCTTTGCAGTGCGGGAGCAGAGATGTGCATGTGGATCATCCATGGGGAGAGACTGAGACCTGGGGGCGGAGCAACCCAGGGCAGCACAGCACAGACCAGTACAATCACATCTGTACCAATGCCACAGGGAGAACGGAGCATCCTCTCACCCTTTACTTCCCACCACTGATTATGGGAAGCTGTGTAGTGGAATAACATCCTTAATGAATGTCTTCAACTTATAAGCCGACCTCAATGCTCTGTTTAATTTGGCAACTATGTGGCAAATGAAGTTTAATGTTGATAAATGTAAGGTTATGCACTTGGGGGTTAAGAATATGCATGCATCATACATACTAGGGGGAGTACAACTGGGGGAATCAATGGTGGAGAAGGATCTGGGAGTTCTGGTAGATCACATGCTTAATAACGGCATGCAATGCCAAGCTGCGGTTTCTAAAGTGAGTAAAATACTCTCTTGTATTAAAAGAGGTATAGACTCCAGAGAGAGAGATATCACATTACCCCTGTACAAATCATTAGTAATACTTCATCTGGATTATGCAGTTTAGTTTTGGGCACCTATTCACAAAAAGAATTTGAGGAACTGGAGAAAGTACAGAGAAGGGCAACCAAACTGATAAGAGGCATGGAGGAGCTCAGCTATTAGGAACTGAATTTATTCTCTCTTGAGAAGAGGAGATTAAGGGGGGATATGATCAACATGTATAAATACATGAATGGTTCATATAGTGAATTCGGTGTAGAGCTATTCACGCTGAGATCATTACAGAGGACAAGGGGGCACTCTTTACGTCTGGAGGAAGAGAAATGTAATCTCCAAACACGGAAAGGTTTCTTCACAGTGAGAGCTGTGAAAATGTGGCATAGACTTCCTCAAGAGTTGGTTCTGGCTAGCTCAATGGATTGCTTTAAAAAGGCCTGGATTCTTTCTTAGATATACAGAATATAACTGGATACTAACATTTATAGGTAGAATTGATCCAGGGAATATCCGATTGCCTCAGGGGATCAGGAAGAAATTTTTTTCCCTGCAGGAGCAAATTCGATCATGCTTTGCTGTTTTTTTTGCCATCCTCTGGATCAACTGTGGGTATAGGATTATAACTTTTTTTTTTTTTTTTTTAATGTTTGAACTGGATGGACATTTGTCTTTTTTTTGGCCAGACTAACTATGTAATTCTGTGGAGAGAAAGAGGCCCCCCCCCCTTCTACAGTGAGCGTTTACAGCCACACCACAGGGACTGGTGAGAGGGCTCACTGCCCATTGTTCACACTGCTAGTAGGGACTGAGTTACTGAAGACAAGATAGTAGGTATACTACACCTATACAGCACTTGTACCACATCTATATTGCACCTTTACTACACTGTATGCTAGTTTAATAAAAACTGTTGGTAAATGCACTAATGCTTCTTAAGGGGCTCCAATGATAGCTGGCAGAAAAACAACATAAAGGACTGCCCCTCCTGTAAAACCATCCTGTATGTTCCCTTTGTTCCTTTCACCCCATTTCCTTCATTTTTATGGACAGTTGGGACTAGGCCCTGCATAGTCACCATTAATGCACTTTGGCAGTATAGTTCCTGTGTTCAGTAAACAAAGCTTTATTACTGCTCACTGCTGCACTTTAGGTGACCTTGCTACTGGTTATGCTGATCTAGATACCACGTGTCATCTTATACCTAGTCCTTATTACTAATCATCCTGCACACTAAATTTTGTTGTTACCATTAATCTATTTCCATGCTTACTTCATTATCACCCATACCAGGTGACAATGGGCTCCATTCACAAAACCAGATTACATGCGGTATGTAGGTATCCAGACACATTGTCCCTAAATACTGCATGCGATCTTGAAACTGTCACTTCACTATACTGTTCTGCATCATTTACCGCTGACAGCTGAATATAAACAAAAGAATTTCTGGCAAAATAAACAGTATTTGCCCCCCCCCCCCCAAGTCCATACCAGGCTCTTTGGTTATGGTATGGATTTTGAGGGGAACCCCCATGCCCCCTTCCCTGAACCATACCAGACCACATGCCCTCAACATAGTTTGTGCATGTTGATGGGGACAAGGGCTTCTTCTCCACAACTCTGGCTGGTGGTTCGGGGGGGGGGGGGGGGAGGGTGTGTGGGCAGGGGGCTTATTGGTATCTGGAAGCCTTCTTTAACAAGGGGGCCCCCAGCCCCCCCATGTGAAGGAGTATAAGGTACTTGGAACCCTTAGTAGAGTGTAGTGTATAAGAAAAAAAAACAAAGTAGGCATTTTTTTGACAAGTCCTTTATTAAAAGAACAAAAAAAAAATGTCCCCCAGTGTAGATCCATCGTCAATCATAATGCCCGCCACCACTGGCGACCTGGGAAAAAAAAAAAAACCTCCACTCCCAGCGAAGGCTACCGCTGTCTGACAACTCCGCCACCTCCAGCTGCTGAATAAACTAAGGGGCGGTGCCACCCAATGACGTCACATGGTGGCACCACCCCTTGTGACATCATTGACCCAGCATGCCCCCAGTTGGCATCACAAGGGGGCGGTGCCACCTGGTAACATCACCGGGTAGCACTACCTCTTAGTTTATTTAGCGACGGGAGGAGGCAGGACAGGATCTGGGGGCCCCCCTTTTTAAAGGGGACTTCCAGATTCCAATAACCCATAGACCCCCACAACCCTGGCAAGTGGTTGTGGGGAATAGGCCCATGTCCTCATCAACATGGAGACAAGGTGCTTGGGGGGGAGCAGACCCCCCTCTGCCCCAAAGCACCCCTCCATGTTGAGGGCAAGTGGCCTGGTATGGTTCAGGAGAGGGGTGCTCATTCATTCCCCCTTCCCTTTCCTGACCTGCCGGGCTCCATGATAAGGGTCTGGTATGGATTTGGGGGGACCCCACTCCATTTAAAAGAAAAAAAACTTTTGGTGTGGGGGTTTCCCTCAAAATCCATACCAGACCTGAAGGGCCTGGTATGGATTGGGAGGAACCCGAAGCCATTTCTTTCCTTAATTTTTCATTATCGGTAATTCCTTTTTTTTTTTTCATTTACAGTCAGCTGTCAGTGGAGAACCCTGCTGACAGCTGACGATGCATTGATTGTTAAGGACACAGCGGCCACCCACTCTTTAACAACCATGACAGTTACTGGTTGTTAAGGATGCCAGTGGCTGCCCAATCCTTAACATGGTAAATTACGTTTTCACTACTAAAATACTGCATGACTTCATAAAATAACTCATGCAGTATTTTAGTAGTGTTTAGTGAAGTTCAAAACATTTTTTTAAAAACTGTGTGCGATATCTTACCGCATATTCTGATACGGTAAGATACCGCATTGTGAATGGAGCCCAATATGTTAAGTTTGTCTGTGCTAATTGGTTAAGTGCCTGTTTTCTTTGATATAGTACTATAGTACTAAAGTAATAATGCACGTAAACAACTGAATCAAGTAAAATAAAGAGAATTCAAGGTAGTGTTTACTGATGCTTATTAAACATCTGTGTTTTTTCAGATGATGTTACAAATAGGTAAGAGCAGCACTACATTTATTTTAATATAACCTCTTAGAACACTTTGCTGCAATCTATAAATGTTTAATCCCAGAATCCATATACAATTCTTTTGATTTCAGGGGGAAAACAAAAATAAAAACATCCCTTTGCTGTGGTTAAGTAAGATTGGCTCGCTCTGTTCTTCTGTTTTGCAGTTACATTCAGTCAAGATTTTTTTTTTTTTACTTTGGTTGTGCTTGACTTTATGCCACAGTTCATGGACAATCATACTGATGCCACTGAAAACCAGAAAACACACAATGCTGCAGATGATGCTTCTGCACTCC